GTTGTCCAGGAGGGGGTCAGGGTGCCCCAGCCCCTCTCTCACCTGCAGGCAGGGCCCGTGGATGAGCCCCGCAGCCGCGGCAGGCACCGCACAGTCCCGGGGGCTGGAGCCGGAGCCCACGTGCCGGCGGGTGCCTGCCCTGCGCCCCGTCTCTCGCTCCACGCAGCGGGCAGCGAGCCTTGGCACCCGCAGGGCCGGGGCAGCACGGGGGGCAGAGCGCGGCCGGCGCCGTGGCGGGCACACGGCCGAGCTCCCCATCCCACACGTTACGGCGCCTGCTGAAGCCTCGGCCTTCTGGTCCAGCCCCCTGCCAGAGGCGCCTGCTCCAGCCAGAGCTTCCAGTCAGGAAGGCAAGAGCAAAACCCCGTAGTTTCAGATGATCTGAGATTATAATTTGAGGTTATAAAGAGGCAAGATTGGTGTTTCAGTACCTCAGAGACCCTCAGAGCTCTGAGGGTGTCTGTGCCTCCAAAAGCAGTGCTTCCCAAAGCCTCCCGGAGCACATGGCCCCACTGTCCCTGCAAAGGAGGGCAGGACGGGCTCCCGGCCCCTGCTTGCTGAGCCATTGGCTTTCCTGCTCCCCTGCAGTGAGGCCATTCAACCCGCTGAACCCGTTCAGCCCATCCACACTGTATCATCCAAGCAAATGACAGTCACAGTTTTGAGTGGCAGCAGCCTGATTTCTGCTGGGATAAGTCAGAGCCTTCACATGACAGGGTGACATTAAAGCAAGCAACAGGACTCCCAAGCTGGGTCTTTTACTCCCTTCCCTGTCTGTGGCTGCAAGCCTCCCACAGGGATTTATAGCAGAGGCAGATCCAGGCCTTAGCTGGCTGGGAATAGGTGGTTTGGTCGTCCTGTTGTTTTCTGCAGATTCAGCCTGGATTTGCCAAAGAATTTCAGCCAGAAGAGAAACTGGGGCGCAAGAAACTAGCTTCATGGCGCCACTGCTGGGAAAAAACAAATCAGCCTCTTCTGAGCTCTTTGCCTGGGGCAGCCCCCAGGACATGGAGGAAGGGTTTGAAGGGGCCTAGCAGGGCTCTGACGGGGAAGGTTTGCGGTGTCCAGCCTTTC